ATGACATATTCTTTACCCTCAAATCGAAGAGCCATCTTAATATTGTGCATCCAATCGTTATAGTTGGTGCCATCAAATGTCACCTTGGATACGATTGAGAGTTGGGAGAAACCCGAATTGTGGGTAGACGATGATGGAGCAAAAGCATCACTAGGAGTAGACATCTACAAAAAAGAAAAGTAGTTGTAGTTAGATGATAAAATAATCCTAAATATTTAACCCATAATAAATATTGAGGCTAGGACGCAACTATGCAATTGACAATCTAGAAGAAGGATGTCTTAAACTAATTGTAAATTTTATAAAGGTAAGTAAAAGCAATTTACCAATTTTAATCAAAATGAAAATCCTAGATATTTTGAGATTCACTGAATCTATCAATGGCATGTTTAATCTCAGATTATGCTCTTTCTATTTGTGAATGGGATAATGAGGCTCACAAACAAGATGTGAATAACCATGCAAATATGCTTGGCAATCTCAATGTCATTTATCATTTCTACTTAATGTTTTGGTTAACCACACACGATCCATCAATAATGATAATTCTTGAGATGCTCATTAGTATTCTTTATAGTCCATATTAGTGAGCTAGTTAACCACACACACTCCACTAACAACATATAAAGCATAATGTGCAACTTCATGGATTAGCATACAAATTCACATTTTTCATAAAGTAACTAAGAGTGGGATTTTTTAAAACAGTTTAGTTACTTTATATCATTATACTTATTAATGAGGTTATGTCCTATCAAACCCGTTCGGCTAACGACCCTCCACCATACAGGAGAGCGGTGGGTGAGAGTGGACACCCATTCAACAGTCATTTTATCGGCCGCTTCCTTATACCCTCTTTATAGCATGGCTTCGTGAATGAGGCCTGCTATTGATTTGACTGACTTTTCTTATACATATACTATATTAACATTTAATTATATATATATATATATATATATATATATATATATATATATATATATATATATATATATATAAGGTGTATTCTAAAATCATTACTAAAATTCTAGATTACATTAAAAATTTCGAAATTATAAAAAATTAATTTAATTTAAAATTAAACAATAAGCATTAAACAATTTATTTACCATTAAACAATGAATCAAATAAATTTTAATCATAATCCAATACCCTCTAATTTTGAAATTAGGGTTTGGGTTTATACCAAATAGTAATTATCCAATTTTAAGGCATTTAAAACTAATAATTATCGAATAAGGAAACCCTAAAGAACCCTACAAATTTCGAAAATCAAGGAGGAGGGTTAGGGTTTCAATAACCCTTTCCCAATTCGAAAATCCACCAAAAGGGTTTTGATCTAATTCAACTTTGTGCAAAATCGCAGACAAAAATGGCTCTAATACCACTGATGGGTTTTTCATGTTTCAAAAACATATTTTTAGCGGAAAAACATTGACCCTAAGTTTGCATAGACCCTAAGGATCTATGTTCTCTCTATGATTTGCAAACAACAATTTGAATTCAAGAACCCCAAAGTACATTGTTATTTTTCGAAATTAACAAAGGTTTAAGTAAAACATACTGTTGATTGTACTGGTAGATAATCAACCAAAATAACCTTCTTGTAGTTTCTTGGAAGCTAGCAACCAGAAATCTAATGCCTCTGATGGTTCACACCCAAACCTAGTAACTAGAAGGCTTAAAGAGAGAAGGGAGAGGGGAGGTTGGGTTTTTGGCCTTAGCTTGATAGAGGGGATGGCCGAAACTATGCTCCAAGGAGGGGCTTTTTATAAGTGATCAATGGGGCTATGTATAAGGCAGTTTCCTAAGATAAGGCACTTAGGGAGGTACTAGAATTCCCAATGTTCAACTTTTAAACATTGTCACCTTTAGTCCTTCCACTCTTAATTATTCCAATTAATCCCAAAATTAATTCCAGTTAATTTCTGATTAACTTATAATTAAACAATATAGTTTCTATTTAATATATTTTTCTCAAAACATAATTATAAATTATTTATTTTGATTTCTAATTAATTAATTAATCATATAATAAATTAATAAATCAGTTTCTCTCTCTCTAAAAGTCATCATATTCAATTAGTAGGTTTGAGGGCAACCCAAAAGGATTTTACTAATAATTCAAGTTTATAATAATTTAGTTAATGGCTTAGACACATAATCCAACACTTACCATGTACCTTCTATGAAGAAGAATTTGCTCTATGTATCACAGTTAACTTCAACATGACAGTTTGTGTTGTTTAGTCCAAATGATGTCAAGATCTATAAGAAATTTGAGACTCCATCAACAGAAATCCTACAGGGACATCGGAGTGATTCCAATTATGTTTTTTATGTGGAGTCGGGGTATCTAGAAAAGACTAAGAAGAACTAGAATGTAGACTTATGGCATATGCATTTAAGCTATGTGAGTTATGAAAAGCTTGATTTAATGATGAAGAAGAAAATGGATAATGGTTTACCACAATTAGAATTGAGAAAAGATAGTGTATGTGTTGGTTGCCAATTCAGCCAGGCTCATCAACAACCATATAAAAGATCAAGTTATCAATCAAAAGCTCCTTAGGAATTGGTGCACTCCGATGTGTTCGGACCAGTCAAGCAAACATCAGTTAAACGTATGAAGTATATGGTGACTTTTATAGACCTTTTTCAAGTTCAAAGAATTTAAAGATTAAGTTGAAAGAATGACCAAAAAGGGTATATGTTGCCTTCGATCAGATAATGGTGGGGAATACCTTGGAATTGAGTTTATTAATTACCTAAAGGCAAATAAGATTGGAAGGCAATTGACTTGTCCAAACACCCCACAACAGAATGGGGTGTCTAAAAGGAAGAATCGCCATCTTGTTGAGGTATGTGGAAGCATGATACATGACAAAAATATCCCTAAGCGTTTTTTGGCTGAAGCTACGAGAACGGTTGCTTATATTATCAATAGAATTCCTCAGCAAGAGATGCAATATGTGTCACCATTCGAAAGAGTGATGAATATCAATCCAAATGTCAGTCATCTCCGAGTTTTTGGATGTGTGTGTTATGTGCTTATACCAGGGTATCTGAGACACAAGATGAAAAATAAAGCTATCTGATGCATATTTGTATGGTACGGTGAGGAGAGAAAGGGATGACGGTTCTATTGTGATCCAGTCACTGGAAAATATTATGTGTCAAAAAATGTCATCTTTGATGAAACGTCATCATTGTGGTCAACAAACCATGAGATCCTACCGTATTCTGAACAACTGAAGGAGGAGTTAGAGTCATCTAAAGTTAGCCTCAATCTTGATGGAGGAGAGATTATAGTTGAAGAAAATGAAGTTGAAGTACAAAACCAGTAGCCATGGCAAACCGGTGTGTTTAATCAAACAAATGTCAACAATGAGAACGTTGAAGAAACAACCACTAGAAAATCAACTAGACTTAGAAGACCGAATCCTACATATGCTAATGCTGCAATAGTTAAAAAGAGATGTGATTGAACCAAATTCGTTTGATCAAGCTCACACAAAACAAGAGTGGGTCAAATCGATTGAGGAACAAGTGGCAACCCTAATGAGAAACCAAACGTAGGAATTGGTCCCAAGGCCCAGTGATGTAAAACCTCTATGATTTAACCATTCTATACATGTGTTTTTTTTTTGTTAATCTACCTAGAATGACTTAATTGGTTAAGCCAAAAAAGTGGCTTAATGGGTTCATACTTTATTTATCTATTTGGTCTTCCTTCTTTTTCCTCACAACTCCTCTCACGTTAAAATTGATGAACATTGTTGTACTTGTTGCATCGGAATGTAAGGGTAAATTGGTCATTTAGTCTCATTCAAGTGATCTATGAAAAGAAAAATACCTTGTGCATATAGCACTTTAACCAAACAGAAATCATACAGGACTTAATATTTTGAGTGTTTATTGTTTAAATTTTAGGGTTAAGTACCTGCGATCCACCATAGGTTCCATATCTACTAGAATAAGAATATCCACTTTCATACTTGGAAATTTCAGGTGCTACAATATATCGAAAAACCTGAGCAGAATCCGAATTTTCCCATTCTCTATCAAAAACGTTTTCCCTCAATATTGATGCCACGTGTCAAAATGCATTCAACACACAGACATAACTCCCACAAATCTTATAGAAGAAAAATTAACAAAAAGGGTCAACACTCATTATGGTATGCTTCATCTCTATCTAATTCTCTATATATAAATATTTTATACTTTACTCTTGCTACCAATATAGGCAATGTGGTTTAACTTTTTACTCATAATAGTAACCTACTTACATTTCTTTAGTAATAATAGAAATTGTACTTACATTTCTTTATCTTCAATAGCAATGTACTTACATTTTCCTACAAATATGGACATTGTACTCTGTTTGTTACATATTGCTATTATTGGTAATGAAATGTAAAGTACATTGCTTGTGTATAGATAATGGAAGAATGTTGCTATTGTGAGTTAAATATTGCTATTATGAGTAAAACATGCAAGTGTATCTCTATTATGGTTATTTAAACGTAAGTTTATTGCTATTATGGATAAAATATAATGTGCTATTTCGTGCAATTTGCCGATATTTTAATTAAATATAGAAATATTTACCTGCACCATTTCATCATGATAATGTTTGGCCACTTTTGGAAGGTTTTCTTTTGAAAGTATTTGAATATCAGCATGAGTGATTCTACTAATATCAGAAATTATGGAGCCTTCTTTCCCAGTTATGGAGGCAACATGAGAAGAGGGAACAAGTAATTGAGTGGTATATGAAATAAAACCTGAATAAAAGTCACTTTTATCCCTACAATTACTCCTCATTTGTAGACATATTGCTGCTTCAATAGTTGCAGAATATATGTGATCAGAGATCTGTACATAAAAGAATCATCATGAGAAAAAGATGAGAGGGATTTATAAAACATTTCTTATGGATGAAGATAAAAAAAAGGTTTATGAAGAAATGTAAGCTTCACCAGAAGTGATGCTATTTAAAATAATGCTTTTCTAACAACAGAAGCTTCACCAGATATCTGAATCAAATCACAACAAATGAGTCAATGAAACATAATCTTAAACTGTTAAACATGACATAAGAAGAAATGTAAGCTTACTTGTATGAGTTCATCATTGCTTAATGCACAAGTAGGCAAATGATTATCCTTCATAATACGAATCTGAGCACTGGTTTCTGTCCTTATAGTTTGAACTACTTGTCCACCTTTTCCAATAACACATCCGATTTGATCAGATGAGACAAGGAGACGAGCTGTAACTTGTGGTGCCATGTCAGCAACCTCATTGGGCCCCACTTCATCAGCTACTACTATGTCATGCACTTTACAAAAGGGCATCTTGTGATGGACAAACTCGTTGATCAGTTTCTATTCCATCAAAGTCGTTTGTTTCATCATTTGTGCTATAGATAGTAATAACACGTTCTCGACATCCAAACACTTTATCAATAAAATCAATTGTCGAATTAGTTTCGGATTCTAATTTTATGAGAATCTTACAACATCCTCCTATTATGCTCATAAGTTTCTCAACAGGGCATAAGTATCGGAATACAGTATAATCTGAATTTATTAAGTTCTTTCCACTTTCATCACCAATGTTTCCTCTTTTGGTTCTTCCATTATCGTTATGGTCAGAGTGACAATTGGAACGCTTTCCATGACTGTTTCTTGATCCCTCCATATGACGCAAAAAAGGGTTTCTTTTTCTAATGGAATGTATCGGTTTTTAATTTGGAAACTGTGAGAAAATCAGCACATGAAAATGAAGGCACGATTCCATTTCAAAACTAAATCAATTTACTGTAAGAAAATCAATACCAAATTTTATGTGTATATTTGATGGCGTATGCATGCGTTTCAGGAAACAGAATGAATGACCATATTACTACAATCCGAGAAGACGCTTCGATTTCGATCAATAAAAGTGAATTCGTAATGTAACCAAATTCGAGTAGTAACATTACAAAAACTAAACCGATACAAGTAACAACAATGTCGAAAACCTATTAAGCATATAATTATGGATCTGGATTGCATGTCGTGATCAATCGTAAAAGAGAAAGAACAGATTTGACGAAAGTTATTATGAAAATTCAAATACCTTGGCTTCTTCTTCGTTTATGGGAGACAGGGCCAAGGACCGCTTGCGATTTTGGAAAATGTAATCATAAAGGATCTTTTATTTACGCTCAAAAGAAAATAAAACTAGAGAAAAAAATGAACGATTTTCTTATCATTTCTCTTACTTTTTCTGATCGAGGAAGATTAGTATAAATTATCTTTATTTTCATTTCTGTACCTTCCAACACTGTCTTTTTTTTCTTTTCTTTTTGTTTGTTTCCCTCCTTAAATGAAACTTTGGAGCAATACATTAGATTTTTGCACAAGCGTCGTCAATTGAAGCACTACACTAGTGGAAATGAGCAAAAACAATGTTTTAAAAATGAGTTTTTTAATTGAATTGGTATGATGATTCGGTTTTTGGTTCGTTAGGTTCAACCGCCGGTTTAACCCACTTTGTATAATTTTGATATATTTTTCAATTTCCTACGTACATATATATAAAAAACCAAGAATTTTCTTACGTCTGCCGGTGGACGCGTCTGCCTTCAAGTTGTGTAAATTCAGACTAATCTGTTCGATGGAGATGTTCAATTTGCCTTGAAAATGGAGTGTTTTTAACTGGTAAACTAAAATCCAACTATCCAAATCCAATAAATCGGTTCTATCACACCGGTTCAACCCGATTTTTGAACGGCTCTCGTCCCCGGTTCTTGGTCCGACCGATACAAACGTTCGGTTCGAATCGGTTCAGATAAAATAATACATTATAACACCAAATTTCATTTACACCAAAATAATGTCGAAGCTTCGGTCTAACACCAAATTTGATTTACACCAAAGTAATGTCGAAGCTTCGGTATAACACCAAATTTGATTTACACAAAATACTGTCAAAGTTTGGTTTGTTGCTTTTAGTCTTTCATGTTTCATCTTTATTCATTAGTTTATTATATACGACTAGGATATTATAAAATGTAATAACTATTTGGTTATATTGTAGTAATATATTTATAGTTATAGAAAATGAACTTAAGAGTTTTGCCTAATTTGACCATTTTTTTTCACAATAGGTCATTTAACTTTTAATGTACATATCAATTAAGCCATTATCGTTAGTTTTTAATCATGCTTCCGTTAACTAGTTGTTCTTAATTACACGAATAGTCCTTATGGTTTAAATTTCTTTTGTAGTTGGTACCTTACTTGTTTTGGTTTAAATTACACGACCAAAACTTTCACATTTATGATATTCTAGGACCAAAGTGTAACAGTGTCATTCTCTTCTCCATTAAATCTGGTTGAACACCAAGCATATCGGGCATAAATTATCATTTTAGGTTTACCAGATTCAACTCATACTAGACGATTTTTCTTCAAATTGATTAATGATTCACGGTTATTCCATACACATTGCATCATATTTTGTATATAATTGGTATGGTTGGACAATCTCCATTTCAGTAGAAGAAATAATACACAAAATCAAATCCCTAAAGCAATAACTTTGACAGATACAGCATCAGTTTACAATACATAACCTAGAAATCCAAAATTTTTAGAAAAAAACATTGAAAGAACACCGATTGCACACCGGTTTCAAACTAACGACTCCCTTTAATCATATAAACACACATAAACAAAAGAAAAATCGGCTTAGTGAAGCTTAACAAACCATGGATCTTGATTGTCGTCGTTGGAAAGAACTCTATGGTAAAACAAATCTGAATATCTTATTTAAATCTAGAGAAAATAAATAACATATTAAAAACCTTATCTTCCTCGGAGATGGAGGTTTCCATCATAGAAATTATAACAATCCTGAAAATTTCCGTCACTAGCCACCGTTAGGAAATAATAGGAAAATAAATGTAATAGAAAGCATTGTAATATTCAATTTTTAAGATAATAAGAATCACATATGTTGTTACATTTTTTGCTAAAAATCATCCATTATGCTCTAAAAATTAGAGATCAAAAAGTTGTGACGTTTTTCGATTCAGTTAACATACTTGGATAGTACTTATTAACTTGATCTCAAGGATAGAAGATTTGTAAAAAGTCGACTTTGAAGGAGAAATTTATGGATTTTATAATAATTGAAATCAACCACATAGTTAAAATTAATTACGTCAAAACGGTACTTAGAGATTGGTTGAGTTTCGACTAAAAGCACAAAGATGAGTTTTGTAATACTCCTCGAGATATAAACATTAGGAAAAAATTCGTCGAAAACGGGATCCATATGAGTAAGTTATGATTTTTATAAATCATTAATTCTTACCTCCGTTGGGCTCGAAAAATGAAAGTCGAAACCGGCCAAAACAACCAAAAGGAAAGTTGAAGTACACGTTGAGATCGTCACATAGATATGGAGAAGGTCTAGATTGGAGAACACACAAGGAAGTTATGACTTTTCAAAAATCATTACTTATACGTCAAGTGCGCGCCTCCGCTCGCCGTGTGCCGCACACTTGACACCAGATTCGGACAGATTGCGAGTGACATGGCTGAGTAGGGAGGTAACACGTGGCAACTTCCTGTGGAGCCATGGTGTTCGAGTGCACGCCGCACGTAGGAAATGCACGGCACGCACCCCCAAAACTCGATTATAGATAGAAGGTTCTATTCAGTTTCAACACACCTTCATTCACTTTTCTCTTTCTCTCTGGTCTGTGTGCTACCTCATGGAGCGGTCTCTAAAGTTTCAAGCTCGTCTCTACCCTACATCAACGGTTTTAAACCCTAGAGTGAGTTAACGACCCATATTTCACTGTTTTAAATGTTTTTAGGGGGAATACATGCTTATCAAATGGTTATATAAAAATATTTATTTTATAAATGTCAAATCATTTTACAATAAGCTAGATGACTTAGGATAGTATAACTGTAGATACTATGCCTATATTTAAGCTATGACCTTATGTCTAGGGGTTATAATGCCCAATAATCTAGGAGTAGGTGTTACCTAGATGTTATAATAGCCAAATTCCTAGGAAACCTTAGTACCTAGGAGTTATGTTAAACAAGATTTAGGATATGCATAGTACTTGGTTGTTACTCTGCCAAAATATCATGTTAAAATAACCATAATTAGGGTATATATATATATATATATAATATATATATATATATATATATATATATATATATATATATATATATATATATATATATATATAGGGAAATGTTATATGGAAAACAAAAAAACCCTAAAAATCATAAAAATGCATAAAAAAATACTTAGAGATCACAAATCCTTTTTTTTACTTTATTTTCTTAAAATCGCAGCTTTTTTTATAAATTCGCTGAAATAAATTAAAAAATTGATTTTTTTTGTTTTGTTTTTTCTTTTCAAAACAAACTTCAACGAAATTATATAAGAATTTGCGATTTTTAAGAGTATAAAGTCAAAAAAATATATTTGTGGTCTTTAAGTATTTTTTTATGCATTTTTATGATTTTTAAGGTTTCTTTTAGGGTTTTTTGTTTTCCATAGAAGCCAAACATATATATATATATATATATATATATATATATATATATATATATATATATATATAGGGAAGGGTTATTTGGAAAACAAAAAAACCCTAAAAAAACCCAAAAACCATAAAAATGCATAAAAAAATACCTAGAGATCACAAAACTTTTTTTTTTTGACATTTTTTATGAAAAATCGCAGGTTTTTAAAGAATTCGCTTAAAAAAAATTTGAAAAAAAAACTTTTTTTTTATAAAATAAATAATAATAATATAAAATAATTGATTTTTTATTTTTTTTTCAGCGAATTTTAATAAAAAGCTGCGATTTTTTATAAAAAAATTCAAAAAACATTTTGTGATCTCTAAGTATTTTTTTATGCATTTTTATGATTTTAGGGTTTTTTGTTTTCCATAGAACCTAAATATAGATATATATATATATATATATATATATATATATATATATATATATATATATATCATTTGATGATATCTACCCGGCACATACAAGACACTGTTATATATATATATATATATATATATAATATATATATATATATATATAATATATATATATATATATATAATATATATCTATATATATATATATATATATATATATATGGGTAATTATGTTAATGCGTTAGTGAGTTGGTTATTCATCAAAAATAATTGATTAAATTCGACATATCCCCAATACCTACAATCGTTAGTCTTGCGAGAGCTAGGAAGTTATGTATAGATCTATACAGGGCCATAACAACCCCACATGCGATAGCTAGCTACAAT